CTTTTATTGAATCATTGCCACAAATATCCATTATTACATGCAAATATTTAATGAATATGTAACAATATTTAACAAAATTTTCCATTGTTTTTAACAATAAACCAATAAGAATGAGTCAGTAAGTAGTCTTGTTTAATTTAGTCTAACGCATAACATAGCGTATGATAAATTTGCAAATTCATCATAACAAGTATACGCATTATTATACTGCCAGAAAATTATTGTTTACTTAGGCATATGATTAATAGTATGAATTTTAGACAAAGAAAGTAAATAAAATTCAGACACAAACAGAGACAATATGACATAAATATTTAAGTGCTTATTAAATGAAAGAGACATTTTATCAAATTTGCTATTAAATATTTATATTCAAGGACATCTGTTTGTAAATAAACTAAGCAGCACGTGTTGTGCCTGTTTAGACATTACAAGTTGTGATAAAAACTTATATGAATACATGTTTAAGTAAACTTTTAACATAATGAATAAGTATTTTAAATATTAAATAATAGAAAAAAGTGCCTGCATTTAACCATTTAACTTTGTTAAATCATTTGCAAAAGTACTGCAATGTTTGCTTAATTTCGCCTACAATAAATATCTTTTGTTTTTTGAACTAAAAGCCAAGGTCTTCTAACACGTATGGTGTAAATCCTGACATCCCAAGAGTCGCTTTAACATTCTGACATTTTGTAATACATTTCTGATGTCATTTGCTTTGTATAGTTTCGCTCTTATATGTGACGCTTAATGATAATGGAAATTTATTATCAGACACATATACAGCTATGAATAACAAAGACACGCATCTTCTATAATCATTATCCTGACATTTACAACTTTTATTCAGAAAGCCAACAACATTGTCTTGTGTCCAAGTTGTTTGTTTGCTCGCTTGTTTGTTTGTCAGCCATATGTTGGCAATATGTTTTAATTTATACAACTGTTCTAGTTTTAACTGCTTTTGCTTCAGTACTTGCCTTGTTAAGAAGAATTAAACAAAAAAAAAAAGTACAACAATTAATATTTAAATTAAAGTCTTGTAGCTAAATGTTAAAAAGTTATAATTAAAATCAGCTAAGCAGTCTTTGGCCATTAAACACTCCTTTGTCTCGATGTTTTTTTTTTTTTTTTTCTTTCTCTATCATTAAAAATTGTGTAATTTTGTAATTTGTATGTATGCAAAAACAAATTTAATTAAATTAAGTATTAAAATGTAGTGCTACTTATTTATTTTGTTAAAGTTTCAACAAAGGAGTGAGACTTTTTACTTCTTCAAATACTAAGAGATGAACTTTAATTGTAATGCTCCAAATGGTGTGACCTTAACAATTGTATTTCATAGAAAATGTTAACAAAATGTCACGAAACACTTCAACTGATTTGGAAAAAAATTGAAAACAAGGAAAATTTGAACATAAACGATCATATAAAGACCTTAAGTTTTCTATGGAAATCTCTAGAAGGGCTATGGAAAGCATAATATCGACCGATAGCATAAATTGTCTAAAGAAAAGTTAACGTCGCTATAGAAAATCTATAGCATAGTAAAGCCATCAATGGTATAAAAATATTTCTTTTGGATAAGTATCGATCATAAATAAGTTTCCATTGAAAATCAAATGGATCATTTGTATCGATACTTTTTCAATAAAATCTTAAAAATACTATCAGCTAAAGCTTAGTTTGCACAACACATGTGCATGTTAAATCCCTATAAACATCGTTTCCTCACAAATGGCTTTATAATATTAAATTAATAACCAAGTTCTTACGACACTCTATTGATTTGGCTTATAAAAATATATTCCATATTATTCATTGTTTTCTTTTTACTCACAACCACTTTCTCTTTTATAACTTATGATACTAGAAACCCACTTTACAATAGAATACAAATCTTTTGTTATAATATAAGCTTTTCTAGAAATATAAATATTTTATATAAATATTTATATTTATTCTATATAAATTTTTTAAACTTGTTGTTAAACACAACACATACAAATGCACATAAATATGCAAGATTTTTGGTATGTATATATGTCATATCCTTGGAACCCAATTCATATTTTGTTTTGCAAACTTTTGCTTACTTATTAAACGATTAGCACTTTAAGTTTATGCATAGTTATTTGTTATAACCAAGTATTAACATTAAAGTTCTAAACTTGTTTTAAATAATTACTTAATATTAAGTGCAAATATTGTGCTGCTCTACATTTTGGATAAATTTTAAGTTTCTCAAGCTTTTAGGGAAACACTCTAAAGACCGTTAATTAAAGTTTTCAAACTAAGAACAACTTTCTATGAAAATATCATCACTCAACGATCAATTTTTCTATAGAAAAGTTCATCACTAAATGAACAACTTTTCTATAGAAAAGTTCATCACTCAATGAACAACTTTCCTACAGAAAACTTTATCACTCAATGAACAACTTTTCTATAGAAAAGTTCATCACTCAATGAACAAATTTTCTATAGAAAAGTTCATTACTCAATGAACAACTTTTCTATAGAAAAGTTCATCACTCAATGAACAACTTATCTATAGAAAAGTTCTTCACTAAATAAACAACTTTTCTATAGAAAAGTTCTTCAATGAACGAACAACTTTTCTATAGAAAATTTCTTCACTGAATGAACAACCTTTTTATAGAAATGTTCCTCACTGAATGAACAACTTTTCTATAGAAAAGTTCATTATTGAATGAACAACTTTTTTATAGAAAAGTTCATCACTCAATGAACAACTTTTCTATAGAAAAGTTCATCAGACAATGAGCAACTTTTCTGTACAAAAGTTCATCACCCAATGAACAACTTTTCTATAGAAAAGATCATCACCAAATGAACAATTTTTCTATAGAAAAGATCATCACTCAATGAACAACTTTTCTATAAAAAAGTTCTTCACTAAATGAACAACTTTTCTATAAAAAAGTTCTTCACTAAATGAACAACTTTTCTATAAAAAAGTTCTTCACTAAATGAACAGCTTTTCTATAGAAAAGTTCTTCACTAAATGAACAACTTTTCTATAGAAAAGTTCTTCACTAAATGAACAACTTTTCTATAGAAAAGTTCTTCACTAAATGAACAACTTTTCTATAGAAAAGTTCTTCACTAAATGAACAACTTTTCTATAGAAAAGTTCTTCACTAAATGAACAACTTTTCTATAGAAAAGTTCTCACAATGAACAACTTTTCTATAGAACAGTTCTTCACTAAATAAACAACTTTTCTATAGAAAAGTTCTTCACTAAATGAACAACTTTTCTATAGAAAAGTTCTTCACTAAATGAACAACTTTTCTATAGAAAAGTTCTTCACTAAATGAACAACTTTTCTATAGAAAAGTTCTTCACTAAATGAACAACTTTTCTATAGAAAAGTTCTTCACTAAATGAACAACTTTTCCATAGAAAAGTTCTTCACTAAATGAACAGCTTTTGTATAGAAAAGTTCTTCACTAAATGAACAGCTTTTGTATAGAAAAGTTCTTCACTAAATGAACAAATTTTCTATAGAAAAGTTCTTCACTAAATGAACAAATTTTCTATAGAAAAGTTCTTCACTAAATGAACAACTTTTCTATAGAAAAGTTCTTCAGTAAATGAACAACTTTTCTATAGAAAAGTTCTTCACTAAATGAACAACTTTTCTATAGAAAAGTTCTTCACTAAATGAACAACTTTTCTATAGAAAAGTTCTTCAGTAAATGAACAACTTTTCTATAGAAAAGTTCTTCACTAAATGAACAACTTTTCTATAGAAAAGTTCTTCACTAAATGAACAACTTTTCTATAGAAAAGTTCTTCACTGTATGAACAATTTTTCTATGAAAAAGTTCTTCTCTGTATGAACAACTTTTCTATGGAAAAGTTCTTCACTGTATGAACAACTTTTCTATGGAAAAGTTCTTCACTGTATGAACAACTTTTCTATGGAAAAGTTCTTCACTGTATGAACAGCTTTCTATGGAAAAGTTCTTCACTGTATGAACAACTTATCTATGGAAAAGTTCTTCACTGTATGAACAACTTTTCTATGAAAAAGTTCTTCACTGTATGAACAACTTTTCTATGGAAAACTTCTTCACTGTATAAACAACTTTTCTATAGAAAAGTTCGTTCACTGTATAAACAGCTTTTCCATAGAAATGTTCGTTCACTGTATAAACAACTTTTCTATAGAAAACTTCTTAAACTTTGCTATAGAAAAGTTCTTCACTGTATAAACCACTTTTTTTAGACAAGTTTTCATTGTGTGAACAACTTTTCTATAGAAAAGTTTTTCATTGTATGAACAACATTTCTATAGAAAAGTTTTTCATTGTATGAACAACATTTCTATAGAAAAGTTTTTCATTGTATGAACAACTTTTCTATAGAAAAGTTCCTTCACTGTATGAACAACTTTTCTATAGAATCTATACAAAAGATCCTTCACTGTATGAACAACTTTTCTATAGGAAAATTCTTCACTGTATGAACAACTTTTCTATAGAATCTATACAAAAGATCCTTCACTGTATGAACAACTTTTCTATAGAAAAATTTCTTCACTGTATGAACAACTTTTCTAGGGAAAAGCTCATCACTGTATTAACAACATTTCAACAGAAAATTTAATCCAATTTGATCAGCATTTCTTTAGAAAATTCATCATAATGTAAACAATTATTTTAAGGAAAAGTTAATAAACTTTGCTTAAAACTTTTAGAAATTTCATCTACAAAATTCCTAAAATTCCATTTTTGTTGAGAGCATTCGATGAAAATTGGGGCTTCCCACATTCCTTATAATTTGTAACCTTGCCACACTTTATATAATTTAATAAAAAAAAAAACAAATATGAACTAATACAAATATTTCAGTTATAAAGGTTAAAATAACAAATCAAGGATAACAAATACATATGTATGTTCGTATAACTATAGCAATGACAACCAGAAATCATAATAAAAAAAATAAACAAACAAAATGCTCACCTGTTGAAGTTGAAGGTAAATTTTCTGACATTGTTGGATTTGTTTAATTTTACAGTTATGGTGAAACGTTAATAAACTAACACAAATAAACAAATTATAATGTTAGTATTTGTTTACTAGTTAGTTTCCTTAGTTTTTTTTTCTCCGTTGCTCCTTTTAACACTAACAATTATGACAGCAGCAGCTGAGGGTGGCAGTAGTTGTTTTTGTGGGGTTAATAGGCTTTTGTTGGTTTTTTTTTTTGAATGGTTATTTGCAAGAACTCAACGTAATAATGACGTTATGAGTGATAATGATGACACATCAATGTTTGAGGGGGGAAACAAAATAAACAAAAATCTAAAAACCGGATATAAGGGATGTGTTAAAGAGGGGTATGTGTGTATTGCTGATAGTATTTGTTATAGTAGAAGTTTGTTAATGCTGACGTAGCCACGAAAAAGGAGAACAAAAAACTGCAGACTTTTGTTGTTTTTTGTATATTGTTGTTGCTTGGTTATTAAATCAGCTCTAGTAGAGAAGTAATTGTAGGAAAATAGTTTTAAACGTTAGTTGTTTGGAATTCTTTCAAACAAAACTGAGTGTAACTACTTTCTGTATTGTGAGTGTCTTTGTGTGTGTGTGTGTGAGTTAGATTAAAAATTCTCCCAATTTATTTGAGCAATTGTGTGTAGAGAATTCATGTTTTAAGCACACATATTCCGTTATTTTCAAATAGTTGCCAAAACTTTTTCTGCAGTACAGAGAGGCTTTTTTTATATGTATGAGTGAGTATTTCCGTTTGTGTGATTTCCTTTCTCTTTGCTTGATATCTTTTAGTATTGAGTATTATGATGACGTCATAGTTTGGTTGTTTGAAGACAGTTTTTTATTTTGTTTTTGTTTTTTAGATTGTTGTTGCTTTTTATTGTTTACAATTTGAGCAAGTATTTCAGTTATTTCCTTCGTTTTTTTTTTTAATTGCCAAAAAGGAAGGAGGTTTAGGAAGTGCTTTGTTATAGTTCTTTTATATCCTTATTTATGCGTTTTACTATTGCAGGCTGTTTTTTTTTCTATCATTGGTTGGCTGGTTTTTAATTTAATCAAATGCTTATTTTTTCCAAATCATAGTGCCTAACTCAGACTTTTGTTTATTTGGGTTTTAGTAAGTATGTGGGAATATTTAACTTAACTCCCCCAAATTAAGTGGGTGTGACTAGTCTCTGCTAGTTAACAAAAAAAAAATTATTTTTTCATTTTGCATAAATACAAAAACTGTAAAAAATTTTCCTCCTAAAATGTTTAATAAAAATCCTTTATATGTACGCCTGGCATGTCTAGCCATCACGCAATTTCGCATTTAAATTCCAACAAATTTTTAGTTTCTTTTCACGGTTTTTGTTGAAACTCAACATATTGCGATTTAATTTATTCCTTTTCAAAATACTCGTATTTATAAATAAATTTATATTGTTTTTGTGCAGTTAATATGAAATTTTATTAACTCATTTTATATTCATATACAAAAACAAAAACTTTTTAGCTTAATTTTCCACTTTTGCTTGTGCTTTTATTGCTCGTTTTAGTTTTATTGTTGCGGAACGCTTTCTCTTTTCCCTATTTTGTTTGGTCAATTGAACACTTGTTGTTGATTTGTGATAGAAGGCTAATATATGT